ATCAAAACCAGTGTGGCCAGCAGGTCGAAGGAGGTGGTTCTGCCTCTGTACTCCACTCTCGTGCTCGACCGGCATGCCTGTGTCCAGCTCTGGAGCCCTCAGCACAGGAAAGACATGGACCTGTTGGAGCAGGTCTGAAGGAGGCCACAAAAATGACCAGAGGAACACCTCTCCTACGAGGTCAGGCTGAGAGAGTTGGGGCTGTTCGGCCTGGAGAAGCGAAGGCTCCATGGTGACCTTATAGCAGCCTTCCAGTACCTGAAGGAGGCCTACAGGAAGGATGGAGAGGGACTTTTCACAAGGGTGTGTAGTGACAGGACAAGGGGGAATGGCTGTAAACTAAAAGAGGGCAGATTTAGATTAGATATTAGGAAGAAATTCTTCACCATGAGGGTGGTGAAACACTGGAACAGGTTGCCCAGAGAAGCTGTGGATGTCCCCTCCCTGGAAGTGTTCAAGGCCAGGTTGGACGGAGCTCTGAGCAACCTAGTCTAGTGGAAGATATCCCTGATCATGGCAGGGGGGTTGGAACTAGATGATCTTTAAGGTCCCTTCTTTCTATGATTCTATGATTCTATGATTCCATATTCAGCCTGGAGAAGAGAAGGCTGTGTGGAGACCTTATAGCATTCTTCCAGTACCTGAAGGGGTCCTACAAGAGAGCTAGAGAGGGACTTTTGACAAGGGCATGTAATGATAGGACAAGGGGTAATGGTTTTAAACTGAAAGGGGGTAGATTTAGGTTAGATATAAGAAAGAAATTCTGTACTATGAGGGTGGTGAGGCACTGGAACAGGTTGCCCAGAGAAGCTGTGGATGCCCCCTCCCTGGAAGTGTTCAAGGCCAGGCTGGACAGGGCTTTGAGAACCTGGTCTAGTGGAAGGTGTCCCTGCCCATAGCAGGGCGTTTGTAACCAGATGATCTGTAAGGTCCTTTCTGACCCAAACCGTTCTATGATTCTACCAGAGGAGTGGAGAAGGGGACTTACAATGAAAGAAAAGCATGCTGCAGGTCTTACTGAGTTTGAGTTGTTATAGGGAAGATATTCATGAACTTTGGAGGCTTCTATTAAAATACAGAAAAAATCAGAGGAAGACACGCACAAAAGGCATGCAAAACTGATGGCTCACTCTCCGTTTGGCTCCTGCAGAGGAAAAGAATAACTTTCACAGTTACAAGGAAAGCAAGGACAAAGATATCAAAAAGAACAGAAGCAAGGCACAATCTATAATTCAAAACCATTCAGATCTGCTCATCTATTACTCTGTATTTGCCATAGTTGGGATGTAGAGTATTAAAATTTGCAAAAAGAATGATGTGAGTTTTATAAAACTTTTAGACTTCAGAGAAATTAATTTCCCTTTTTCTCCTACATTGAAATGGGAACAAAGGCTTCCAGCACTTTTAAAATTTATTCAAACCATCTCATCACACAAACCCACGTGCTTATTATTTCAGTCCAAGGCAGGTAAGCTCCTCTTTAGTCAAGAGCATTAAAGTAGGTGCTTAGCTCAAAATACCTGCCTCAAATCTAGCAACGGGGAAGTAACGCAGCTAAGAGAGACGTTGATGGTCGAATCACCCCACATGACAAAGCGTGACATGGACTACACGGTACAGGGCAAACACACATTTTTGATGAAGATGGATGCTGGCATACAGCGAATATAACTGGAGGGCCACACACAGCACAGTCAACGGAGTGATGAAGCGAAGATGCTTTTTTTCTCTCTACACAACAGTGCCACTCGGTGGATGGACAACGGCAGTGAAGGGAGACGCCACGCGTGGAAAAACCCGCGGGGAAGGTGGCTGTGGAGCCGGGGGGTATGGCTGGAGGCACAGACAGACCCCCTGGTCCCCGCAGCAGCCGTACCTGGGAGGGCAGAGGGATGCTGCGCAGGGCCCGGCAGCCCGGCATCGCTGCCTGGAAAACCCGGGGGGGAAGGTGGCTGGGGGGCCGGGGGGTATGGCTGGAGGCACAGCCAGCCCCCCTGGCCCCCGCAGCAGCCGTACCTGGGAGGGCAGAGGGATGCTGCGCAGGGCCCGGCAGCCCGGCATCGCTGCCCACGCCCGCCTCGCCTGGCAAACAAACAACAGCGTTAGAAGGTTTTCCCCCAGCAAACCCAGTTCCCTGGAGTGAAGAGCTGCAGCTTAGGGGGGTTTGAGCTGGGAGACCCGACTTCAAGCGCAAATGATATTGTACGAGCAGGAAAAAACACACGGCAAGTTTTAATAATCAGTGCCCTATATGCTGCATTCAGACATGCGCAAAAAAGCAGTGGTTGAAGAGGCCGATTTATATCAAAATCTGAATGAAAACAAACAATCAAACACATTTTGTTTCTGGTACTTCACACTGACAGTGTCATTCTGCTAGTTTGGGAGCATCACATTCTTACTGTCAACAAAATTCCATAGTTGCCTAAGAATATGCATATTTATATCATTTTCAAAAAGGAAAACCCCACATTTGTTAATCAGTGTTTCATTCCTTTAATTTTTATTCAGTTCTGCTATCAGTAAGGACAACTTCTTTTTCCTTCTGAAAAAGCATGTTCATTTTCTAGACATAGTTCATAAATAATTCTAAATATAGAGATCATTTCTTTAGGGCATATTCTGTGACTCTGGAAATTCTGCTCGTGTTACAACAAACACTGCAGAAGTATCAACTCATAAAAACAAACAGTAGTCTGGAAACTTTAAATAGCTGATCACAGTTTTGGCAGAACTTCATCTTCAAACTGGTCCTCTAACGTGTCCTTGTGATACAGCATTCAAATCAAAAGCCTCTTGGGTTTCCCTGTGAAAGGACCTAGAAGAAAAACTGTATCTGCCACTATCAGGGAAGAAGTGAAAGAGAAATGCTTTTTTCCTGGTAACACACTGCCATTTGGTAATCAAAGAGTATCCAGTTTCTGAACACTGATGAACCCAGTGGAATGCAAATGGCAACAATTCTGCTTTTTTTCCAGACTTTTTCATTATCAATATTTTTGTCTTTCAAGACAATGACCTCAACTGACAATCCAATGAACTCAAGACTTGAATTTAACCTCTGTGTCAATGAATTCCTTCTTTGTGTATGATCAAGAGAATATTTTAATCCCTTTTCTGTTAGCAGGCTACCTTGCTTAAGTAATGAGTAATGATATCCAATCTTCTTCTGTGCTGAGGACAGGCGGAATGGGATTAATGTATTATTAGAAGGAACTGAATTTCCACTTAGGTGTCTGGATACTTTGTTCAACTGTGATTTGTGATGTTGAAGGCTCACCTGGAATTACAGGCTCGCAATTATGGTGGTTTTGTGTGTTGTTTTTTTTTTTTTTGTGTGTGTTGTTTTTTTTTTTTAATATTAGTCTGCTGTTTTTTCCGTTTACGTGATCTAAATTATATGAATGTTTTCTTAAAGAAATTCAGCAAGCACCAAAACTTCGGAGTGAGAAATAATTACTCTTGATTATGTAAACCAACCATCCCTCTTCCAGAGCACAGCACAGGCTACCCCTGGAGGTAGAAGTACGAATAACACCTGTCACTGCTGCTGGTTTGTGGGTGGTTACTCTGTCTAAACAGAGCTCTTAAAGCTGGGATAGGATTATTTTGCCAGTCTTGCAAGATATTTTGTTACCAAGGACTTCTTCACACTTAACAAAAGGCAATTAATTTAATACCTTCAAACTTATAACCCTCTACATATTAATTTAAATTATGAGCACTACTTGAACGTTCAAAACCTGAAATAACTAATATAACGTGTGAAAAATGGATAACTTCTTTCACTGACTTGATGCCTGTCAGATTTAGAGCACTTCAGTCTGTTATACTGTCCAGCTGAACATCTGTGAGTGTTAGATCAACAGGAAGTGCAAACGTGGAAATTATTTTGTTTTACACCTGATTTTACTCACATTGATGTCAGCAGGGTTTGCATCAAGGCTTCAAACAGGACTACACATGGCAATAGTAACTACAAACCAAATGAGGCCATTGCACAGCAGAGAAATACCTGTGTTTCAATTTCATGGTTGCACAGCATTGGTGACTATAAAGCCCTTGCTGGACCCATTTCTGAGATTCTTCTAGGATTCTGAGAGAAGCTGCGTGTCTGGATTTTGCCAAGCAGCTTTAGCGGACCTTACAAAAGTGCCTGCATCTCTCTGCTTCAAGACAGCAGTTGTGCCTCTGAATTCTACAACCAGCACCAGTCTGACAAACCATTACCTAGGAGGAGTTGCTAGAAGCAGCAGATACCGTACCACTCGACACATTCCTTGCAAAGAACATACTGCCATAGGCAGGCTGGAGATGAAAAGCAGTAACACACCTTGAGCCTGGCAGAGTATAGGAAACAACTACGAAAGCTGAGCTTGTGACTGTTGTTTGAATAAACTGTCCTTGAGAAATATAAAAACAAGAAGTAGTATTTACTAAACAGAGAAAGTGCAGAGGGCCATCACAAATTGTTAAAAGGCAAATACATGTTATTGTTCAAGTGCCTTCTCAAATAAGCTCCACACATTCCAAAGGGAATAAGATTTCATTTATTAAGAATTACTCTGTAATTGATCTATCTTCCTTTACTTGTATTTAGCTAATATTGTTACGCATGGGACTTTTGCCAATAACCTGAAAAAAACTACATGAAATTAGTCTTACAGTTAAAAGCATGTTGCATTTAAAAGACTGAAAAATTAATTGGCTAATGTTTATGGTAACAATGCAGTTTGTTGGTATGTCTGATGTAATTTCTGGTTAATATTTTTTTAAAGGTTCAAAACTTCCTATAGTATTTGTACATTCTTGAGATAACATTTAATTTCCTATTACATTACAAACTTGTAAGTAGCATGGACATCCCGCTTAACAAAATTCTGGTTTTTCTTTTTCCTCCAAACATGTACCCATCAATATAAAAACAACAAAAGGACTTTCTTCAGTCCTTAAGGCACATGACAAAGCTGTCGCGGCACTGCCACACGTTTCGCCTTTACCTTTGCCCAGCTGAACTGGCATGCTTTCGGACTTCATCATCCTCTGCTGCTGTGCCTGGTGCTGGTGGTGCTGGTGGTGGTGCTGGGGGGCTTCCATGGCGCTTCTGATGGGCATCGCAGGGGGAAGACAGCTGCTGCTGCCAGCAGAAGCGCCCACAGCCCCACCTGAAGCCATCGCCGGAGCGATGAGCTTTCGGCCAAAGTTGAGTAAGCTGTTGGAGACTTTGTTAATGTTGAGCGGGGCAGCCTTAGCGCTGGCGCTGAAAAAAGAAGAGGAGAAATCATCACATCCGTGCCAACAGTTTGGACAGGCACAGCAACGCATGCGTTGCTCTCCAAAAATGGGGGTGAAAAATCCAAGATTTGAACATTACGAAGAGGGTGTTTTACTACAGTCACGCTGGAATACACACAGGAACCACAGGGACCGTGTGTGGTGTGAGTTTTTCCCAGCCAGTAGTGGACAAATTGTTTTGGCCCTTTATTCCTGAAAAATGCAGACTAACGCCAGACAAAGCATGGTTGCACCAATTTTCTTAATTTGTCTTTTTAAGTGAAGAAAATGAAAGAGTGACAAAAGGAAATCCAGGCTCTAAAGCATCGAAAACTTAAACTCATGTTTTGCACTTCTTATTCAAAGACTGTTTTAATATTCACTTCTGCTGGACTAACTTCTCTTCAATGTTTAAAATAACTCCAACTCAAACATTTCTTTCAACAAGCAAAACGAACTTTTTGTTCTGTAGGCTGTATTTTTAGGCTGGCAGAACTAGACGTCTCTTGCTCTTACTTCACCTTCTGCCCAGCCCAGCCGTTTCAAGCCAAGTGCCTTTTAAGAGGAATCCTGATTTCTAAAGTGATTTTGGCTGAAGAATGGCTTCAGGATGTAACGCATATACTGGGTCATGAACTTATCATTGTTACTTTTCATTTTTAACTACAGTGGCTATTTAATCCACTTCAGTTATACGCAACATTAAGAACGAGGAAATTGTTGAACCATTTAATCTGTCTAACATAAAGAGGCAAAGAAGCTTCTAATTCCCAGTAGAAGTGTTCACGTAACCCAGGGATCAGCAAAGCCATTTCTATTTATTCATGCAATATTCTCTCATTTTAGATAATTAATGCTTGAAATACCCTTCACAGAAATATATCACAATCACAGAGACCTTTACACTCCTGAGGTTTTATTTTACTGATCTGTACTTCAGTGACATAAATAGCTGTCTTCAACAATTTGAAGAAATACATGTAATTAAAAACAATACAATCATTGTGCTGGGGAAAAAATAGTTTTGTAATGTTTTGGGGAAGTTTAACTAAAAATAAAATACAAATAAATTAATATGGGTGTCTTGTAACTTGCGCAGGCACCTGGAAAAGTAATTCTGATTTTCGCTTTTCATATAATTTCCCAATTTGTTTCCAGATAAGTTTTTTTTTAGAATACACAATATAAGCGTGCTCACACTTACAGAATATATCCAGAAAATAACAACAGCTGAGTTGTTTAGGCTCAGAATAGATACAGTTAAATTGAGAGAAAGCAGAAGAAAGTACGTGAGCCTGCGCACTCATGAGATACAGCCCCAAGCTGTATGGGGCCTTTCTGCCATATACTGGTGATGAAGAAAGACAGCATGCAGCATTTTTTTTAGGAGGAACAGCAGCACAGAGACCGGGACAAAGTGCTGCTTCCCAATTTATGGAAGCTGGAAAGGAAAGATTACCGAATAACCATTACAAGATGTTTCTGTGTTTCCCTATTTTACTGATTGCTGCCAATATTACAAAAAGTCTTTCAGCAGCCACCTGAGAATGGCTGACAAAGTCACCACAAAGAGAGCATCTTCAGAACTACAAAATACTCTTGCAAGGAGTCCCAAAGGGTTTCAAAAGCAAACTGAATAGGTCTTAAAGATTTTAAAGAAGAGGACACGATACAATGTTTATTACTATGAAATTTTACTCTGCTACTACCTAGCAGATTCAGGTATTAATCAGTTCCCCAAGGTACTGCAGAGACACTCAAAGAAAAAAAGGGATTTTATTTCTATTCCATCACATCTGTGTGGCGTCAGAAGAATCAGCACAGGCCCTTTTGTTTAATGTCTTCTTCATTCCAGCAAGCAAACAAAGATTGTAGCTGTGAAGGTGGAAGAAGTAATGTCAAATGCTGGCCTAACAGGTATCAGTCAGGACTCAACAGTTTGCAATGAATCTAATTACATCACTGATTTCGGGGGTCATACCAGTAATAACTTGGTTGAGATTCAGAATCCAAACTTTGGTATACTTGGCATAATTTTTTCCCCTCTATCTACTGAAACTAATCACCAAGACTGGGGTGGTACATATCATTTACTCACCTGAAATATCACCTTAGTAAGAAGATAATGGTGTGCACATTGAGTCCTAGATTTGTGTTGTCTTTAGGTCTGGAGCCCTGACAATCAGCAAAAAAACCCCTGACTTTGCACAAAAAATGATATTTACTGGAAGTAAATCTTTGACAGGCTACGCAAGCAAAAAGCCACTGGATGCTTTGCACTAACTGCATCGTTGGAATCATGGACCACGGATGCACGAGACAAAGCTTATACAAAGGCTTGTGTATTTGTGTCCACTAGCTTGTTTCTTTCTGGTTTCTTTTTTTTCAACTATATTTTGCTTAATAAAAACACCAATTTTCCTTCTACACTGTTTAATTTGCTGCTTTCACATACATGTAAACCAGGAGAAGTTAGTTTATTTGCATGTTTAAGATGGTTGGAAAGAGACTTTCTGAGAAATTTCACTTTACAGGAACAATAAACACCAAAAATCTTCTCTAAGCCATTATGTCCAAAACACGACTTCAAAAAATGCTTTCCCCAATAACATGCAATAATGTTTTATAATGATTTGAGATCTAGAAAGGATAGTTATTGCAGCTCCTATTACCTATGTGTGATTTGGCTCTGCTATGAACTGACACTGCTAATGATCAGCTCAGAACACATACACATATGTGAAAAATAAATAATGATGCTATGTAAATTTCTTATCAAGAGCTGGTCTTAACAAAAGTATTCTTCAGTAAAATTTATTGTGTGATTCCTCTGAATCGCAGCTTCAGAAAATGAACAATAGCAAGGTGCTAGATCTCTGGAGGAGGTACATTAAACCTGAGCTGAAGTTCAGGAAAATAAGAACAATGTATCTATTTCTTACCTTTTAAATGTCTTCTATATTAATGCAAGGGATGATTGCAGCCATTAAACACGAATCAATGTCTACATTTTAGCCATCCAAATGTACATGAGATGCACAACAATTACAGGAAAAGTGCTGATTGATTACGTTGTAGAGTTATCAGCAGATGCATTTAAATGTAAGGCATCAGTTTAAAAATATGAGTATCACGAAGATGTGAATTCCATCTATGCAGCAAACAATTTTGTTTCATCACAATAAGCATCATTGACCTTGACTGTGAATGGTATATTTTTGAACTAGCAGTAGGAAGATGATTCAATCTCTGCAGTTTTCTGCTAGGATGAAAATATTTTGTTTTAAGTAAGCCTTACTCAAAGGCATTTCTCTCTTCAGTAAGTAGCCATTATGAGAGATGAGAGACAAATACATGAATATGACGGATCAAAAAGTTTTATATGTGGTAAAATAACCAATATATATTAGCGATTTGCCAAGATATTTTAAATGTATCATTGAGCCTGTGGAATTAAAGATGAAAAAGACCTGGTAGCTGATCTAATCCATCTCTCTGCTCACTGAAGAAACATTTCCTAATGTTATATCTTCCAATTCTCTCTTTAGTCCAATCTTAAACAGATATACCACAATTGACCTACTCTAAATGTTCCCGTGTTGAGATAAATTTATCCCAGTTACTCCTCTATCTGAACTATTCTAAACAATTTCTCCTCTCATGTGGCGTGTATCCTGTATGTATGTGTGCAATGAATTTATGTTCCTACATAGATTTAATAGACAGTTATTTCCTTAGAATTAGGTTTCCAACAGGTGTCATTCTTGTTTGGGCTTTATGATTATTTTCTTTTTTTTCCCAAAATCCTTGAAATGATTCTTTCAGAATTTTTAAATGACTTATTGTTCAAGTTTAGACAACTCTTGAGACCTTTTTTTTAAAAGATAAATAAGTAAAAACATTAAGAAAATGCAATAGAATGCTGTAATTTTTGACACTCTTCCCCAGCTTTAAAGCCTGGTTTAAAAAAAAAAAAAAAAGATGCTTTTGCAGTCACCCTACTCAGCTTTAATTTCTGCTCCTTTCTCCATTTTGAAGAGCTTTTTAATCCACTCCATTTTAATTTTAGCTAGCTTGTAACATAACTGACTTAAAAAGAATTTGACAGAGGTGCAAAGATCTAAAAGCCAGCAAGTTCGCATGAATCAGCAGGCACAGTATAGGGCTGGGGCCACGCACAGTCCAGGAAACTGCCTGTGACAGTATAAACTGAAGCAAGGCATCATCGCACGGTGCCCCGCAGCCACCAGCAGCCACAAGCCACCAGCAATCAGCACCCACGATGTGGCCACTCCATCAGGGCATGGGCACCTCTACACTTGTGACCACCAGATAAAATCGCCTTGACAAGGAATTTAAGCAGTATGGATACAAACTGTTTCTAAAACGGGGGAGGAATGCTGCAAAAACGTTTAGTAAAAATTACTTCAAACTGGCTTTACATTAATTCAATTTAACTTACATAGCTTCCAGCACATGGATACTCCAGATTGCGATTAGATGCGTTATTGGAAGTAGTTCAGCTACAGAGCTCACATTGGCCACGTTTCACCCCTTGTTTTTAGTATACACGTCATTGTGTATGAATGTCCTTTAGCCTCAAAAAAATGCCAGCGAGCTGACTGCAATGCTACCTGTAAAACTTTTATTTTTCATGTAACAATAGGCAAGGTAAAGATTCAAAATAAATGTCATGAGATAAACACATGTGCTTCTACTACTGCTTATGTAATTCCTGTTTGGGATAAAAGACTTCTGAAACATTTTGTTTATGTAAGGTCTTAAGTCAGTGAACACATACTCAGAAATAGCTTACCGGGTTTTGTTCATCAAGTCTGCTCCACGTGCTTTGTAATAATCTAAATTTTGTTGGAATTGGTGAGTCACTGGTCTTGGATTTCTCTGAAAGAAAAAAAAAAAAACACCCTTACTGGAATTTTCTGAGAGATTTAAAGCAGAAACAAGAACTATGCTCATAAATGAAGATTAGAAATCTAGAAATTTAACAACTAATTTCTTTCCCCAGGATCTCAGTTTCTCAAGGCAGTAATGATAGTTACATAAAAGTGAAGTCTTAAAATATTTAAAATAATACCATGTGTTATCGGTAAGTTCACTACTCTGTGCTCATAGAAATTACTGTTCTTCCATACAACGATGGGGTTGTCGGCTGCAGCGGTAACATTTCTAACTAAATCAGTAATTCTTGCAAAAGTTCAGATACCAATCTGATTTCTTCCTTTAGCTCAGATATAGAATTTTACCACCTCCAAGCTAAAGTGCTAGGTTATTAAGAAAATGCTAATAGTAAGGAGAAACTATAGCTAACATTCTGAACTGAACGCATCGCTAGCAGTGTCTCGGTTAAGAATCAAATTTAGCGAGACAACCCCAACGATGCCACTAGATGGCACACGGAGCCTTTTGTCTTTCCAAATTTCACCCTACTCAAAACAGAACCACGAATGAAGACCTTTCTCCTTTAATAAAAAGTATATAACTAATATTGAAACCAGACGCCACTTGTTAGTCTCCACCTCTGCCACAACGAAACTATTTCACCGGAGCACGCTGCCTTCAGTAGTTCTGAAATCAGCATTTTTGGATCTAATAATCCACTGAACACTGATTAAGTGTAGACCACAGTATACGTATGAAGTATCTTGATCAAATGAATGCATCCTGAAGGACATCCTCATTTGGAGGGGAAGTAAATATTTTTAACTAAAAAAAATTGTATAGAAATGAAACCAAAATAATAGAGAGGTACAGAAAGGCCCTTTTAATAGATACACAAAAATTAGAATAGAGATGGCTTAAAGTAATTAATTTCTGGTGTAATAGAAAACAAAATGGCAAATTTCTGCATAACGCTCAGCTATATTGCATAAAATATATCTAAATACTTTCCAAGTCTTTGCTTTAAAGGTTTGTTCATTCATAGGCTGTTGCCTTACATTCTGATCTGCCTTCTAAACTCCTGTTAGCAGCAAATATAGTTTTAATGAACTACACAATGACCTCTTGAAATAGTCGTTCACAGGTGAGAGTACATTATAGTTTTGATGGAGTCAGTCTTCAGCTGTTTCAGTTTCACATGTGGCATTTTTGCCCTCCAGGTTTCATTATAGACTGGAGTATTCGTAGTCTTACCTCATCTTCGACACAACTGCAGATAACCCTCCCTCCTTGGAAACCTTGTTTTTGCAGGAGAATACAGGGGTTGCATTTTAAAGACCAAAATATTGCATGTGCACAAAAGGAGAGAAGAAGATTTAAAGAGGTGGTAGATATAAAAGGCCAGGATGACTTCTGGGGTCAAATTTAAGGCTGGGAATTTCCAGATCGTTTCCCACAGTCAGACTTAATCTTGTATGAAATGTCTCATTTTCTTTCTTTGGAAACACATTAAACATTTTAAAAATATAACCTGTTTGTAATGTTCATTAAAAAATGAAATAACTAAAAGCTATTAGACAAGGATTAAAAAAATTGTCATCTGTCCTGCCACCCACATTGTAATGGCTGCTCCACGTTCTTCTTCTCCTGTTAGAAAAACAGTATTTGCATAACTCTGCTCATTCATATGGCTTGTAAGTCAGTCCTCATCAACTGACAGCAATAACAATGAATCAGCTTTAGTTACTATTGCTCTAGTTTGGTAATTCAATGCATTTCTATGATAATCAAATCCAAACTGACGTGATGAGGATAACTGATGGTTTAGTGACTACTACGCGAGTAATCAAACAGTGTAACTTTTCTCTCATGCCATAAATAACTTCTTTCTTTATGTGTCTGTTGACCATTTCAACAAGGTGGAAGAGTAAGAGATGGTTAAAAAACCAGGCACTTCTAAGTCATAAGACAGCCCTTTGAAAAATTCACGTTACCAGATGCTAGCCAGTTTTGCAGTTTGTTTCCAGTAACTCGGTATATATTTTAAACTTAGAAAAAACATTGAAAATTCTTTTCCACCACCCAATAAATAAAAAAAAAATGTTATCACACATTGCTTCTGAATTAAATAAAAAAGAGGAAAAGATCATGCAGAAGAGTATACTGAAACATATTCATGCAGAAATGACAAGCAATTCAAGACACGAAAGGCTGATCTACTATCTAAGCACTTAAAGCCATTAATAGGAATAATGATCTAACTTGAACACATGAATGAGGCTCAAGCATTACTTTCACAGGGGCCTATTTAAATTCCTATGAGGTTTAAAGGTATCAAAGGAAGAAGCAGTTTAAAGTACTATTACATGCAGTGAAAAAAAAGCCCTCAGAATAAATGCCGTTGAAAAAAACAACATTAGAAATGCAACACAGTAAATACCAAGGGTACTGCTGCAACTTCTTTTGTGGCACTATAGAGACATCCTTTTGGAAAATTTCATTATTTAAAAAAAACAACCTGACATACATGTTAGCAGACAAGTATCTGTGAAGTATCAACACAGACATTTTAAATACTTCCAAAAACTGAAATTCATACAGCAAAAAATTTGGTTTTATAAAGATTATGATCTTTATGTCATTGTGATTGTCCTTTAAATTTTATATTCTTTCTAACCATTTCAGTAAGGTAAATATAATAAGCAGAAATGAAAACTTACACAATTACGATGTCTCGTCCTTATGAATTTTAAACTAATTCCCCCTCTAAGCAGCTACTTTGAGCTGCCCCTATATTACATTCCATGTATTGGGACTGAAGACTAAACAAATTTATTTACAGCACAACATAGCTCTGTTGTTTCACAGCAACCACACTTTTTTCCTACACAGTGCAATTTAGAATGATCCTATTTGCATTTTTAATTGCTTAAGCAAGTAAAATTTCTCATTTTCTTTTCCAATTTTTATAAGTATTTTGACTAGTATCTCGGATAAAATATTTTTTCTTAAAAGGATAATGTTAAATTGACAGTGAAATCAACCCCTCAAATCAGTAGTTTGTTGAATCCCCCTAAGAAACTGTGTAAGGGCATTATACAGATGACCACATTGATGTTTTTCCCCTCCTAAGGAAAGAGAGCGCAGAAATCAGAGAGAAAAGCTGCTTGTGTCAATACTAGAAATCCCTCTTCCCCACACCCATTTTGTAGGAGCAGTCTGCTGGTTTTATAATTCTTTTAATCTTAATTTCTAGCTATAGTGGGCTTAGTTTCAACTGGTAGAAAATGCCCAATTTATACTTTTACAATGACAACGTATGAAATTCAGATATAGAAGCAGACACAGAAATTGACATGCTTTTGGACTTTGTCTCTTCAGAACATATTACCCACAGCCCAAAGGGATGAGATGCCCTAACAAGTTTCAGGTATCTCTGAGGTACTCCAGTCTCTGAGCCCCTCCTTGCCTAAAAAGAAGTGCTCCCCCCTCACTTGCCCGCTGAAGTCCTAAGCCCCTGCCCTCCAGCTTCTGTTCCCAGCCACCGCCAGACCGACTCACTCCAGTTCCCACGGCTGGCAGGGGACTTTCTGTTTGGCTTTGTTCTCCTCCAGGGACACGGGGCCGAGTCAAGTTATACCCACGCCTGCTCTTTTCCTAGGCGGAGGGCTGAGGCCGTGGTCAGAATCACACCGAATGCAGCAGAGATTCCCTAAACTCGCATAAACTGCAGAAAAGCAGTTCCCACCAGCTAAGCATCGTGCTCCACGTGCTCAGGTTCCCTAGTATAACCCTTTTCCTCCCTGGCCTCCAGAGATACATCGTGTCACGTTATCCACAGAGTAGATATGACATATCAAAGCACGCTTGTGCGTGACAGAAGTCACAGGCAGACTGTTCTACAACATGCCGGGAAAATCAGGTTACGGCTGCAACGTAACGTTTCACCATCTGAACGCTCATTATTTGTAAAAGTTTACATGCAGGTGCAAGCAGAGGAATCTCTACAACACTCTTTTTTTCATCTTTGTCGAGGTGTTTCCCCCCCCCCTTTAGTATTATTAACAGAAAAAAAAAATAAAATACAATCTTGTGCAAAATCTGAAGGTTCAGAATAAGAGACAACAATGAGAAAAGATTTTCAATATGTCTGATGAAAAATGAGACTTATTTTAGTGAACACGCTATTGCCTCAATGCCGAGGGAAAAGCACTCGTCATTAGAGAAATGAATTGCTCAGCTGCTTATAAGCAAAAAGCTCTGGGGGAATTTCTCAAGGCCCAAACCACAAAGCATTGCAGGGTTACACAAACATATGTTGCAGGTGTTTTAGGGTAGACAGGTGGGAAAACCTCAGCTACTGAAAAATACTCCACTTAATAGATTCTATCTGAAACTAGATAACCTAAATGCAGCAGAGAAAAAAAAAACAAAAGAGCAGCAGTGAATTACACGTACACGCAGCAATACGCTCACCAAAATAATCATCTCACTAGTGCCAAATGGGATTTTTATAAACTAGTTTTTTTAGTATATTAAACAAATGCTGCCAAACATATATCTTTTTTTCTAAACTAATAATATTTTAAGTCTAAGCCAAACAACAGACTGAACTAAACATATATAAAAAAAGAGAAAGATAATGATGCAGAGTTGTTCTTTTTATTTAAATATTGTTACGGTGCCAGTTTGCTCCTTTTTGCCCCTCTTTAGCTGACAGGGCAATATTGGATTTTTTTGTACTTCTTGTACAGCCTAGAACATTTTTATGTTAAAATGCTATTTTTCTTTCCTTTCATTTGTTTCTAATGTGACTGGGAGGTCAGCAAAGGTTTACCTTTTCCTTCACCTATGCTTCTTTCTTCAATAAAGATGATACAAACATGGCAAAAATTTTGACTGGGAACAGAGCTGAAATACAGTAGCTCAGATGTGGATAAGGAATACAGTTTGTTCATTTAGGCACTACTAATTAATATGAAGTGCACACTAATGATTACCTA